TCCATGACTTGTTCGGCGAGCGCTTCGTTGTTGGCTTCCTTCGAGTTCAGCCCGATGGTGCAGTAATGGCGAATCCCAAACTGAGCCGCTCGGAACTTCTCGAAGCCGACCAGGCTGCTGAAATAGTCCTGGAACGAACCGACGTGCGTACGAGGCTGGCCAAGCCAGAAAGCTGGCTCGATGATCGCCGCCACGCCAGCTTTGGCCATCGCTTCGTAGTCGTCGGTCGTACGCGAAGTCACGTGAATGTGGGGGTCGATGAATTTCATGGTTCGTCTTCAGTGGTCAGGGGTCAGTTTTCAGCAGGAGGCTCGACGCCGCACAATCATGGATGATTTAATACGCCGCTTCCGCAATCGCGTGCCAGGTGATCTCGCCGCTTTCGGCACGTTTGGCGATTTCGGGATTGGTTTTCAGGATGACGTCCGCTTCGTCCGAGGCGGTTGCTACCAGTGCCAAAGCGATAGCAGACTGCTCGAGCTGCTCGCCGGAGGCATACAAGGCCTTCATATCTTCTAATGCTATTTCATCGGCAAACGGAGCTGCGACACGCCACAGTTCCACGGGAATCGGCCGCGTGGCTGCCCGTCGTTCGTGGGCAAAGTCGATCAGCATTCGGGCCAATTCAGGGTTCACACGCTGGTCGATACCTTCGATCGGATCGAGTGCCGCACCGATGAACAGTGCCTTTAGAATCATCTGATTCCACGCATGTTCCGTCATCAACTCCATCGGTAGTGGGTTGTGATGGGCGATCGACTCGAAGACGGTCTTGATGTTCGTGCGGATGCCTTCGGACAATCGGTCGTCAAACAGTTCCTGGTGCGGCAACAACTGGAGGGCCTGATAGAGACAAATCTGCTCGCGAATTTCGGCGGTCTGAAACAGCTTTTCGACCGTTGCGAAATAGGCCGCATCATCTTCGGCCGGCAGCGACATCAACAGCAAGACGCGTGCGGCTTGATCGAGTGTCCATGTGTTCGGCTTCCACCCTTGGCGGGCTTCCGCGGCATCATTCAGATCTCGCTCGGTCAACTGCAGATCCGCTTTGCCAATTTTCCGTGGAGCGAAGCCGAACGACATGTACAACGCCTTCAGGTCGCCGGTGGCAACCGCTTCGCGCTGCGTGTCGAGCNNCTCGAGTAACTGAATTGGGGTGTAGGACATGTCGTCGACCTGATTGTCAAATGGAGGATTTCTTGCCGCAGGAAATAGCGGAAAGGCATCACTTTTAGCCTAAATCGCAGGGGAGCTCGAGGCAAGGGATCGGCCCTCGCTTCGTGAGTTCGCACCGCGCGATGTGAAATGTCTTCATCCGGAATTCTTTGCCCCTGCAAAGGTAAGAACGCCGGATGCTTGTCAGCCCTTTCGCAGCATCTCGGCGGCTTTCGGGGCGAAGTATGTCAAAATGCCATCCGCTCCGGCTCGCTTGAATGCGGTGAGGCTTTCGAGCATGGTCTTGTCTAAATCAAGCCAGCCATTGGCCGCGGCGGCTTGCAGCATCGCGTACTCGCCGGAGACCTGATACACGTAGGTCGGTTGCTGGAAGGTTTCCTTCACGCGCTGGACGATATCCAAGTACGGCATGCCTGGTTTGACCATCACCATGTCGGCCCCTTCTTGAATGTCGAGGGCAACTTCGCGTAGCGCTTCGTCGGTATTGGCAGGATCCATCTGGTAGGTCTTTTTGTCGCCTCCTCCCAGGTTGCCGGACGAGCCCACCGCATCACGGAAGGGACCATAAAATGCCGACGCATACTTGGCCGCGTACGACATGATTTGCACGTGCTGAAAGCCTTCGTGATCGAGTGCTTTGCGAATCGCGCCGATGCGGCCATCCATCATGTCGCTAGGGGCGATGATGTCGCAGCCAGCTTGGGCTTGCACGATCGATTGTTGGCAGAGCATCTCGACCGTTTCGTCGTTGACGACATAGCCATCTTTGACGAGCCCGTCTTGGCCGTGGCTCGAGTAAGGGTCGAGTGCGACATCGCACAAGATGCCGAGGTTCAAACCTTTCTCGTGAATCGCTCGAACCGACTGGCAGACCAGGTTATCGGGATTGATGGCTTCTTCGCACTGAGGAGTTTTCAGTTCGTCGGGAGTTGCAGGAAAGAGGGCGATGACCGGGATACCAAGTTCGACGGCCCGCTCCGCTTCTTCAGCGGCAATGTCGATCGTCACACGGTCGACACCTGGCAGCGAGGGGACTGGGGTCCGTGTCGCTTTGCCGGGCTGAACGAAGATGGGCCAGATCAAGTCGTCCACCGTCAGGTGATTTTCGCGAACCAGTCGGCGCGACCAATCGGTTTGACGATTCCGACGAGGGCGAGTTTGCGGGTAATTTCCTAGTGGACCCATGGCAGTCATGTTGGCAACGTTCCCAGGGGAAATTTTAGAATGGATTGACTTTTACGGCTGACAGGAAACGATTGTCAGTAAATGAGTTATCGACACAACACGTTATCGGCTGTCGTCGGAATCATTGAGCCGAAGCGTCTCTCGCGAAACAATGATTCGTGGAAGGCGGGATATTCCTTAGTGTACTCAGTTTGTCCCCGTCTGGGCAGTCACAGCTGTCTGTAACTTAAGAGTGCCGTTGGCATCTCAAGACGTGGCGCGTGGGATCGACTATGATAAAGCGTTGCATTTGGTTTGATTCCGCATCGCCGCCAAAGATTCATCGGACTAGAAAATAGCGGTTGCCCCCACGCGAAATTGCCGGTCTAGCCTCTGGCCAAATCCGACCGCACTGAAATACCCTCCGCCAAGGAAACCTTGATGTCTACTGACTCGCCTTTGTCTTCGCAACCTGCTTCGGCCACGCCGTTGGCATCGGAAGCGACTCGACCTTTGGCTATGGACACCTCGCCTCGTTTGCTTCCCGACGTCGCTAACGACACCGCTCCGCAGTTTCAATCGTCCATCGATCGTGTCGGTATGTCGGGCATCGAAGTCGCCATCGTCGTACGTGGTGAAGACGACATCATGATGCGAACGCCGGCCAAAGTGGATGCCT